TTGCAATTTTTTTAAGTGTGGGTATAAAAAAAATGGATTTAGAAAAAAAAATTACAAACGAGAAAATGCGACAAAATCTCTCATTTCCTGAGAGTATAGTAATATCTAATTGTGTCGTCTCTGAGTGATACAAGAGACAGCGCTTTTAATTAGTTGCGTTAAGAGAGAAACCAAACAAGCAATTTGGCCCGGAATGGCGCGACTTATTAGAGGGAAATGATGACGAGGACTTGAGATGAAAAGGAGAAGCCCTCGGCGCGGCGATCGGCATGTAACACATATTAACGCCTACAAGACTGCACGAATACTTCACGCATTGCATCAAACACAGTGCGGTCATTGCGGTCAGCGTGAAATGGATAGCGCCTACAATAATGTATGAATACTTCACGCATTGCGCCAAACACACTGCGGTTAGCGTGAAATGCATAGTGCCTACAAGACTGCGAGAATACTTCATGCATTGCGTCCAACACAGTGCGTTCAGCAGCGGTTGGCGTGAAACGCATAGCGCCTACAAGACTGTCGGAATACTTCACGCATTACGCCAGACACGGTGCGGTCAGCGCAGCGCAGCGACGGAAGTTAAAATCATTGAACCACATTTATGTTTGTTCTTTCATAATTTTTCCGTTCATTTCCTATGAATGGAAGGCGTTGTCTACACAGAGGTAGGTTTACAAAACTTAACTTTCGCGCAGAATTCTGTGAACTTATGCTAGTAGACCCGACCGTTAAGTAAGCACGCCTTATAATAATACTTAGTTTCACTATTGATGTGACCGTCAGCCTGAAGAGAACCGAAGACATCCCAATCTGACCGCTGCGCCAAGTCGTGAAAGAATGCACATCATTGCTGCAGCACCGTAACCTATTTCGGAATGAATTCCTATCGTATTAATTTTTTCCTCGAGTTTCCTCCCGCTCTCCTTGTCTCTCTTCCTTCCCTTTCTTCTTTTTTTATATTAATTTTGCCCCATGTTTATCCGGAGAGCCCTCCTTTGGGGAGTAATGACGGCCAATCAGATGTGAACGTTGTCGACGGTTGCCAAGCAACCTCCCGTCGTCAGACGTTTTCCGCCTCGACTCGGCGGCTCCGACTTGCGCTAAACTATTTATCTTGGGGAAAAGAGAGAGAGAGGAAAAAATACGCCGAGGCCTCGACACTCGACAGCGACGCGAAATAGATTTATAGATTTTCTCCACTCATCCTAAAGAGATAAATACACTTCATTTGCTTTGCTTCTACTTTCCTTACTTTCTCCGTCCTTCTTTCCTCTACCCTCGCTCCCTGCTCTTCCGTTCTATTTCTTTCCTCACTCTCGTCTCGACTTTGTTACACCGTTAACGGAATAAATTTTCTCGTTATAGCGATGCCTGCGGCATGGCGCGGCGCCCCTAATGAAATTGTTTACCCGGCACTTTAATGATCTGAGGCAAATTTTATCATGAAAAATAGACGCGCACCAGAGACGCGCCGCCATCATTACCACAAGTTTCCCCATCAATTTTCACCGTAATTCCCTTAGTCTACCCGTCCCCCGCACTTTTACCCTTCCCGGCCTAATTAGAAGATCGATTTCCTTTTTATCCTGCGTTCCGACGCTCCTGTTTCCCTCGCCATCCTATGCAATTCCTTGAGCTCCCAACTTTTTGAAGACTGTCGGAGAATCCCTCACTTGAGGTATCTCCGGTTTTTCAGTTTTATTCACTCCTTTTGAATAATTTCCTTTCCCGCAGCAGGTCTCGCCAAGACGCCGGCTTAACCTCAGCGTTCCGGAAAAGTCCAACTTTTTCATTAATTAAGTAACGGCGTTTAATAACGATGAAAGCATGTTTTAATTTGTTTTCAGACGCCTGTCTGAAGTAACAACCTCTCTTTTTCTTAGCGCCTCTTCGCCGTAAAATGTTACGTAAGGCGTTGATTGTATGCCGTAGCACTATGTACGTATATCATCCTTTTGCTTTCAGTCAAAAGGAACACAAACCCATTAACATGTGATGAACCCAATGCCACTACCAAACTTCTAAATCTCTTTTGCCTCCCTTAATTTAAAAATCTAAATTTTTGTATATGCACTCATCTTCAGTGGCGTAACGGGCGCCCCCGCAGACCCTGCTATGCAGGGGGGCCCAAGCGCCTAGGGGGCCCTCGCGGCCCTCGGCCGTCGGAATTTTTTTTTCTCTCTCTCTCTTTGATGCTTAGCTTTGGTTTCAAACTGTGGGCCTTTACTTACCGAGATGGCCCTTCTTCTGCTGATTTTTATTGTTAGCTCAGGGTTTTTCATACTTCTTTTGGACTGTTTCTAACTTTTTTTTTACGGGAGGGCCCCTGCCTTCCAATGTCCACTCAGTGATTACTAAACATTTTCTCGATTCTTGGGCCTGGGCTGGGCCCCCGCTACCCTTTAGATCCTTGATCCTTTAGGGGCCCCATTTAATCGGGTACGGGATCCGGGACGGTGAGGTGAGAGGCATTCCAAGTCCAAGTCCGTGATTTGAAATGTCTCGGGCCAAAAAACGGGAAGGGGTGAGGGAAGTAGAGGGGCAGAAGGGGGGATGATTTTGGAATTTTATCGACGGGGGGGGCCTAGAAAAAAATTTGCAAGGGGGCCCAGCGGAAGTCCGTTACGCCACTGCTCATCTTCCAAATTCTTTGTAAAGACGTTAATAGCCTAAGATGCTGAGTGTCTTTGAATAAATTAACTAAATAACTAACTGGATTACATTTTGCAACAAGGAACCACTATCTCTGGCTCTCCCACAAAAGCACATATCTCCATTGGGAAACCAATGGCATGTATGTTGTTTCTATAATGGGCCAGAAATAGTGGTTCCTTATTGCAAAATGGAATCCAACTAACCTTGGGTCTGTGCTGATAAATGCACAGTAGAAACATATAACAAGGTTTTTTGGTAACATTGTTTTTTTATTACAGCATAGCCTGAGTCGCAATTATTGCATATTGTTTTTGGAAATTCGGCTAATAGCTCAACTTTTCTTTTCGAAAAATATAATTATCGGAAATTCCAGAATCAACTAAGAGCTTGAGTTATTTTTTACTTCGGGTTCCATATTAATCAAATCTTTGCATTATTTTTTCCCTCGCCGTGATAGTTTTTGAAACCAACTTCTGGCTACGTCGTAAGGAGCCGGGTTAAAGTTTAAACTTTTAAAACCTGGAATATCCTTTTTCAACTTTTTCTCGATTTGTAACCAGCTTGTATTAAGACTTCAAATCTTAAATGTCCAGCGATATATAGTATCATTTTTGATGAGGGAATTTTGTCTCAAACGAGTGCTTTATTCAGTTGACCTGGGAATACTTTAGAAAAATGGGCCTGTGTCTTACCATAGATAGGTGCAACGAAGCAACATACTACATACATTATTTTTTTTTCTCTTTAATTCGAATGCACAAAAATCACGCCAAGCATATCAAAAAAGTTCAAAATTCATTCTTTAACGCCTAGCTTGGGTTGCTGTATTTTGGTATCTATTGACATTTTTTGCCTCATTTTATTTTCTCCTGTTCGTTTCTTGCTAGCAACCGCAGGTTTACCGATAGGAAGGTGTGAAAAACTGAATTTAAATTAATAAAACTGTTAATCTTTCGTCTTGGAAATTGGAATTGGACCAATTTTTAGCTGAGAACAGCTCAAAATTGCTCGGAGATAACTGAATTGTTCAACATTTTTCGGGGACGGCCCCGCGGACCCCTTGTAAAGCCAGAAGAGACGCAGGTGGATCCCGCTTAGTTAAGTATTTTTTGTACCCCCTTGATGAAGTACCCCTCTAACATCCCCCCTTCCCCACAAAAAGTCCCTAATTTCGCCCATGAGCCTACTGTGATTAGAACTAGATTTGTATACATATAAAAGCCTGAGCGAAGCAGGGCAAGAACATCAGTGGCGTGGCGTACTTTGCGATACATCGATTAATCTACCATTCAAATCTTTAAAAAAATATCGATTAACAGGGTGTTCGCAACGAACACCTTAATGATCGATTCTTTATCATAGCTTCGAATGGGGACAAATCGATTATCGATCATTCACGCCTCGCCTCTGAGGGACATATTTTTCGCGGGGTGCGGACTGCTGCTCGCATAGAGCGGGAGAAGAGAGGAGTGGGATAGCGTAGGATTCACAGCGCAGTCGCTCCACGCTGACCCGGAGCCCAGCTGCCCTATAACAGCAAACTTCGCCTCTCATCATCCAACGGCGCTGTGGCTTAGTTGGTTAAAGCGCCTGTCTAGTAAACAGGAGATCGTGAGTTCGAATCTCACCAGTGCCTATTTTTACTACCCACTTCAGTCAAATAAGGCATCGCAGAGGACTTCTCTCATCAGGGCTTACTACTTATTGTAGTATTCACATGATTTCCGGTGAATTCTTTTAAGCAAATGGACGTATTTATGCCAAAAGGAACTTTGAGCATACGGTTTGCGTGCATCATAGTTCCTTTTAGCGTGGATACATCAAAATACACATTCTTATCCCATTTTATCCGGGTTTTTTTTAGCACTTCAGAGAATTTTCATAATTTAGTTGTTTTTCGGATACACATTTCTGTGAAGTTTTTTTAAAAAACTTCTGAGTTTGAAAATTGTAGTAAATTTTTGGTTTTTGAATTTTTTTTCTTTCTCTTTTTGTTCTTTAGTAAATTCTCTCAAGTTCTTTGTCAGGTCAAATACAGGTTAATACATTGATGTATTTTGAATTGCGCCATCGAAAGTTCCCAAAATTAGGAACAAATAATTTTGCTTTGCCACCATTATAAATTTTGAGGTCATTTCCGTTCAGTATAAATTTTTTTAATTTTTAAATATTTCCACCATTGCTGGTAATGCACCTTAGGCAGTGTCGCGCCCATGGGTAGAAATACTATCACATAAATAAAATGTATAGCAGAATGATTGTCTGCATAGGTTTTGTAGCTGTAAAGCACAAAAAGGACGCTTAAAAAATACTTGAGATGTTATGCATGGTGTGCTTACTTGAACTCTCGCTTCGGTAAGGTTGATTTTCATCGCAAGATCCTCCCTCGTGAAAACATCTGGATAATGAGTTTGTGCGAAAGCAGTCTCCAATTCCTCCAACTGGAAATTAGAAAAAAAAAGAAATTTGCCGCGATCGTTTGATAAAAGTGACACAAAAAAATATGAAAGAAAGAAAAACAAGAGCAAAAGAATGAATTTCAGTACAAAGAAAAGTGAAAAAAAATTAAGGCATAGTAGCAATAAATTAACGTCGCAAAATGTCCTATCATGTTACGAGGCTCGCTCCAACCTTCTGTGCCTCAAGCCTTATACGGTACGCGTTACTCTTGTATACCTATTACAAAGAAATATTTTATCACCTCAACAAATGAATTGAGCAACATAACACCTTAAACTCGGAAAGGTCTGAAATTTATTCCTACTAACTTCATAATCCACGGAAGGAAGCGCATTTTTGAGTATACCCCTTTATGAAGTAGAGGTATAAACGTAAGTCACCACTATTCTTCAACTTCTCGTGAAATTCAAAATGGCCGCCATCATGTAAAACAGTTCCTCCACAAAAAAAAATAAAAATAAACCAAAGTAGCTCTACCCAGTAGGGTTTGCTTGGAAAGCAAGAAAATGAAGGTTTCAGATTCGTGAAGTCCGCTTTGTTGTTTGAAGTTAGAAGTGAACTTCAGAATTTCTATTCCAAGCCATGTTAAGTTAGAAAAAACTCCCTTTTTTCGCTTCAGTAGAAGTTCGAAACATACTCAGTTCATTCTGAGAAAAAAAAAGAAAAATGAGTAAGCTTTAAAATACTTCCATACCTGTTGGAGGGTAAATGTTGTCCTATTCCGCCTTTGCTTCCTGCGCACAAAGGAGTCATCATGTATCGCCGGATGATAAGAATAGCTCGTATCTGTAATCACAACAATGAAAGGAAATATAATGACAGTTATTATGGATTAAATAGCGTTAGAGGGCATTTATAATGTACGCAAAGCTCTGGGGAGGGAGAGAGGGCTATTGCCATGGTTATGTAACCTTCACTATTGGTAGAAAACACACCAATGTGGAAGGAAGTTTGTGCAAACTTTCGCTGTTTGCCAGGCAATAGCGACAGGACGCGCGCTGGTCTACACAGCTATTGAAAATACCTCAAATTTCACCCAGCTATTTATGTAACACATATAAAAATGCATAAACTGGGTCAAATTGACCCGAGGCTTTTTAAAAACACGTGCTCGACGGAAAGCGGGCTGTGCGAGGTCGACACCCATCCATGTGCTTTAGATTTAAGTCCACGAATACTTTATAAAAAAAGAATCAGACATCAAATTGAAGAAAAAGTGAAGAAACAAGGGTATCAAATTGAAAAGAAATCAAGTATCAACGCAGCCAAAGATAGGAGAGACGTATGCGGGCCTCGTTTTTTAACTTTTCTATCGAATCTGTTTGACAACGCTTCATTGGCGGCATGGAGCGGAGCATTCCAAGTTCCCGCCTCGCGCCTTCAATTTTGTCGACGCAATATGGGCATCCATCAAGTACGAATAGTTGTATCTCTGCGCCGTCTCAACGCGAATCCTTTTCCTTGCTCTCTTTTCCCTATTTTGTTTGTCTTAGGTTGTGTTTTTGGTGGTAATGCTTCAATGGATATTTGAAAAACACTGCAGAAGATAGGAAAGACGTATTCGGGCCTTGATTTTTAAATTTGCTCCTAATTCTGAGCAGCCTTTCATCAGCAGCATGAAGCGGAGCATCAAAAGTTCACTCCTCTTGCCATCGCGCCTTCAATTTTGGCGACGCAATATGGACATCCATCAAGTACGAATAGTTGTATATCTGCGCCGTCTCAACGCGAGTCCTTTTCTCGGCTCTATTCCCAGATTGTATTTGTTTTTGTTTGTCTTATTTATAGAAGTGCTTCAAGGACCACGCGAGGAACACAGCCAAAGATAGGAGAGTCGTAATCGGGCCTCCTTTAATGACTACTCTACAGAATTTAAGCGACATCTTCTTGGCAGTATTGAAAGAGCATATATGTTACCAAAAAGTTGAAAATTTAAGAAAAAAGAAAAAAAAAGTACCTTCAAAAACATAGAGACAACATAGACAATACTTAAAAAACTATCAAAATCGACGTATTCAAATACGTGCTAATTAGACCTGGCTTGGAACTTAAAAAGTCTTGGGCATCTAAGAGTTAACACGCTCTTACAATCTTTTGGATCTTAAGAGGGAGAGTCTGTAATGCATTACGGAATTATGAAGGGGGGATCCGGGGTTGCGTTACGCAGTGTTACAAAGAAAGAGGGGGCTCAAAAATATCGAAAAAGTGCGGCACGCATTTCATGAACGCCCTCTTACAAACACCATTATAATTTCACATTTAAAAAATACTTCTCAATTATTGAAGATAAATATAAATGGATAAAGTTGAATTCCAAGTTAAATTGTAAAGTTCCTCGGTTATATACGGATATATACGGTATATTTCATTCGTTTAGAGAGTGCAGAAAAATAATATGTCTTTATCTCTGCAAAACTACGGCATGTCACAAGTTGCTCGATCATAGAAGGATCGATAGTGCGGAAATGGGGATGAGAAATTCATAATAACTTTTACAGATGCATTTATTCGTGCATCCAACATAGTCCATTCAATTTATTCAAATATTCATTAAACTAGCGTTCGATTAACTTCCGAATTCCTAGTTTATTTTTCATAATAATCATATCCCACCGGAAAAAAATGAGCACCAACGATGGAAGTTTTTCGCGAACTATGAGATGAAATGAGAACTCGCTAATCTCCGCTCCAAAAACCACCTCTATTTTCATTATTTTTCCGGTGCATAACCCCCCGCCACCTCTCTTCGCAGAGGGGCAAATGCCGTATCTAGAGCGAGATTAAAAATAATAGCATGTATCAAAAAAGTTACACCATAATCTGAATGAAAAATTGAGCAGCCCCTCCACTTTATATGTTGTCACATTTACACGGAAAAACTGATGGAACCAATAGCCCACGCGAAACAAGCGTGCCTTGCTATTTAGCTGCACTGAGGAGAATAAGTTGGACGTATTTCTATCAAGCGGAACTATGTGCATCATGACGTGAGCCCTGCTATGCACATATTCTTATGGGTCTCAGGGCTCATGTCTTAATGCACATAGTTCCGTTTGACAGAATTACGTTCAGTTGATGTCTTGCTTCGGAAGCTGCCAAAGTCGGAAGAATGAAAACTCCATTTTATCGCTGACGTTTTAAATAGCACCACCTCCTTCTCTTAATTTTTATTTTTTTAGTTTTTTTTTTATTTCTTTATTTCTTTATTTTACATTGAAAGGTAGGCAAAAATTCTTTAATAACATTAATTTTCCATCAGTAAAGTGCAAGAAAGTTTCATATTTTTAGCCGCGGGGCTTTCCGGGAACTGAATAACATGCGCCAAAAACGTCCTTATTTCCCCGAAAATCGTGTGACTTCAGTTTTTTTATGATTTTTTTTTTCTTTTTTTTTCCTGAGTCGGGCATTCTTCGGAACAAGCGATTTATTTGTGTTCTTGTTTTATTTTAGCCAGGAATGGCGAGTAAAACTTAAACTTCATGAGAAACAATGGGAAAACCGAGGAAAGTTAGATTCAGCCAAAAGCTTGTATAATTTTGTCCATACTTTCCACCTTAATCAAATCTCTGTTATTTATTTCTCACAATGTATGGTCTAGAAAAGTACTGTTAGAATCTTAAGAATCAAACGAGAGTGCATTGGGATCCTCTGATTAGCTATAAGTCTAATTACTCGTAAGGATATGGGGAAGGTGTAACTTTCAGCTCCTGCAACCCTTTTGATTCACAAGGGTAAAGTAATCTAGGCAAATCACTTGTCGCATACGTTAAATTACCTTTTAAAGGAACCACCATAAAAAAATGTACACTCTTAATCACTAGATTTGTTCCCATCATTGCAGATACTGCTAGGGAAATAGATTGAAAAAATAAGGTACACTGGGAAAAAAAACACATTGAATCTAGAGTCCAGACTCTTGAAAACATTGACAAAAAAAAATACTCTTGATTCAATCGGATTTTTGCTTGAATCAAAACGAAATCCGCTTAAATTAAGAGGCTTGGTTCTTGATTTAAGCTAGATTCTGATTGAATCAAGGGTACTTTTTCTTGTCGATGTTTTTAAGAGTCTGGACTCTAGATCCAATGTGTTTTTTTTTTTTCAGTGTAGTTTGCTTAAACTGCCTCAAAGAATCAGTTATTAAAGTCCGGGCTCTTTTGGTTGTGTCGGATAATTCTGGGCCGATGCTAAAAATAAGGGATTAATGCGGAATGCGATTATGAGAAAATCCGTTCGGAACGTGCTTTGACGGATCACGAGGGCACGCGATGAGCAAAAAAGCCAAATAGGGGCGACTCCTGAAAAAGTTGATTAAAAATTCAATTACTCTAATAAATAAATAACTTTTCAATTTCCGAAATTCAGCCCAACCCACCCTCACCTACTGCTTCGGCTTTCATTTCCCCTGGTCGTGGAAGTCACACGGTAAGTCTTTAAATATGTTTAATCTGTAATTTTAACTGTTTTCTTTTCTTTTCCTCAGTGATTTTACAGCTGACATTTTGCGTCTTTTGTTATTACAAAGTTGGTGAGCGATCTGGCCCGCAATTAGTTTTTTTCTTTGATGAGCCGAAACTGACCCACACTGAAAAAAAACACATTGGATCTAGAGTCCAGACTCTTAAAAACATCGACAAGAAAAAGTACTTTTGATTCAATCAGATTTAAGCTTAAATCAAGAACCAAGCCTCTTAATTTGAGCGGATTCTTTTTGATTTAAGCTAAAATCTGATTGAATCAAGGGTTCTTTTTCCTGTCAATGTTTTCAAGAGTCTGGACTCTAGATCCAATGTGTTTTTTTCCAGTGCACGAAAATGGGTCGTAAAGGACAATTTAAACCCAACACTGGCGACGATTTTTACATTGAGCGGCAATCAGGAGGATTACGCATGTTTAACTTCCCACGATAAACTTCCGATTTAGTTCCACCATAAATTAGTTCGATAGATGGTTTTCTGCTAACTACCGAAGATAAGCGCAGAGCTACCTTTCGTCCTTGGAGGATCACTAATACGATCCTTATTAGAATAGTGGCTAGACAAACAGGTCCCTAGTCACAAAAGTAAAGGAAGAATGAAGAAGTTAGTATTATCTGTGGTTTTACCAATAGAGTATTGGCGATAAGTTATCTACATTAAGATGGTAAAATCTACAGCCAATTCTACTAATAAGATATAAATTACATCTTTATTAAGTCAATGCTTCAACTTTTGACGACTGTCTGTTGGGATACAGACTAATTTTTGTTTCACTTTAGCTAATTTTGTACATCCTTTTTTTTTGCGGCGATGTTTGGACTAACTAGGCTTATGCACCAGACACAGGAACTAGACTCTAGACAGAGAAAGAAAATGAGAAGGCATCTTCTAGATTTCTTAGTAGATGAGAGACTGGCTTTCGCCTGCAGCTTGTGATAGCACACGCAATACAAAACTGTAATAAACATCAGTGGCGTGGCGTGCTTTGAGATACATCGATTGATTTGTCATTTCAACCTATGGAAAAGGATCGATTAACAGGGTGTTCGCAGCGAACACCTTAATAATCGATTCTTTACCATAGCTTTAAATGGCATAGCAATCGATACATCGCAATTCACGCCACGCCACTGATAAACATTGGGATCCAGGCTGAACCCGACGTTCTAAAAACTGAAAGCCTACATAAGACCGCACTCCGCTGTCATTCTCAGTCAGTGGGGGAGGACATGGAAAAGTGCACTAAAAAACCCTCAAGACCTACGTAGTCTCAGGGAAATACATATTTTCTTTTCTGTGGCTCATGAG